GGGGGGGTAGAACCCTCGCCGGGGGCTCCGGCGGAGCCCGTCGAGCCGGCTGCCACGGCCCATTTTATGGCAAGGGTAGCCGCCTCACCAGGCGTACGCCCTCAGGCTTCCTCCAGTTTTCGCGCCCCCCAACCCCCGGAAGTCGCTCCAGCGACGCCTCCCAAAACCAGGCGCCAGCGGAGGCGGGGCGGAGGCGAAGTCGGAGGCGGGGCGGAGCCCGGAGAGCGCCCTGGTTAGCCCTCGGCTTCATTGACACCCCCTAATAAAGGCTCGCGCTGCGCTCTCTTGGATCCCGTTATCGACGGAAGTTCACCAACTTCCCGAAGCTCGGCTGTGCTGGTGATGGGCAGGACTAAGGCCTGAATTTGGAGAGAAGGGGCTTGCGCCCAACATTCTTCCTCGCAACACCAAGTGCACAATCGTGGCACCTCGAAGCAAATTTCAGGGAGCAGATCGTCTCATTTGCATTTGCTATCTCTGGTGAAGCTGTGACGATCATGAGCGCCTTTGAATCCCCTGCAAGTGAATCTTGCAGGAGGTAAGTCAGCTTGGAGTTGCGAAAGGGAACATGAACCTTTTTTTCGCTGCTTAACGCTGCGATCACGTCGCCCAAAGCAGAGAGGGACTTATTGATGGCCTTCGCCTCTGTGAGACGGTCACCTGCAACGCGGGGCTTTGTGAGCCAGATCTGGCAATTTTGCGGACCTGTAGCGCCAGTTTTGTCAAGCCGTTCACTCCCGGCAAGGTCAACAAGGTTAAGCTTGGAGCGCAGGATGTCACCGGATGGCATCGTCCCCTTGATATAGAGAGTGACTATTGAGTGGCTTCTAGATGAATCCTTGTTCAGGGCGTGCGCACCGGCGGCCCGGTGGGAGGCACCACGCGCGATCCAGACTTCAATCTCTTCCATGGTCGACACTCTCTTGATGTCGAGGCCTTTGACTATGGACACACCAGTTGCAGTTGTTATATCGAGTCTGGGTGATTCGCTACCGGGTTTTCGGAGAAGATCTCGGATGGCCTCGTTGTAGATCTCAAGCATAGAGAGCTCAAGATCATAGACGAGCCCATTGCTATGTGTCTTCGCTGCGTTTAAAATCGCCTCAATTGCTCTGAAGTTGACGCCCCGATCGTCAGGTGAACCCTCCATCGTGTGCGTTTTCCCGGATCCCGTTTGTCCGTAGGCAAAAATGCACACGCTGTAGCCGTCAAGAGCAGATGTGACCTATGGGTGTTCGCAACTCACTTGCAATCGTGTCAATGGAAGCGTTCAAATCGGCGCGTACGACCGACTCGGCGTGATGGCAAGGTCGCGAACAGACTCGAAGACGGTGGCCTGGGAGGCACTTGGTGAGAACACCCCGTCGAACTCAAAATCGTAGTCGTCGCCTTCGTGGTCGGGCCGCGTGATGCGAATCACTCCATCTTCTGGGAACTTGGCCGCAGTGATTGAGGCGTCCAGATCGCCCCTAGACGGCCGACAGCGGCACAGAACACGAATGTTACCTTGAAGCTCCATGACGCGATTATGCAATGCCCGTCGCATCCGTCTCTCACGCTCGGCCTTGTCTTGGGCAATACGTGTGTCAGATTCTGCAGCAGCGATACGAGACTCACTTTCGCATTTGTTTGCCAGTCTGGCAGCTTCCACCGCGAGGGTAATAGCGGAATTAACGCGCTGTGCCTCATCTGCTGACGTTGCGGTTGCTAGCGCTTCGAGCGTTTCAAGCCTTGCTTTGGCTGCAGCGAATGCGGCATCGGCTGCACGGTGCGAGTCCATGGACTGTGCGAGTGCTGACAGTGAGGTGCAATTCACCTTCACTGATGCCAAGGACTGCGCCCCGCCTTCCATCTCCTCGAGGCGAGTTGTGGCTACCGTGAGAGCGACCTGTGCATTATCAGCACGTGCTTCTGCGCCAGCGACAGCGGCCAAAGCGCCCTGGAGCTGATGCTCCGAGTTTTGAAGAATAGGATGGAGCTCAGTGTCGTTAGCTATGCCCGACATCCCACCCCTGGGTCCAAGCGCATAACCACCTGTACGCGATATAAATTCCCAACCAGATCCTGAACGCTTTGCGCGGACAGAGCACCAGTATGTACCTTCTTCCTCGCGTCGACAAGCTCGAGTTCAAGCTCAAAGTTACGTGCTTTGGCTGCACGGACTGCTGCAAAGAGGCGTGCTGAGTCGACTGCAACCTATGTGTGATAGTCAATGCCTCCCAAACGGCAAATCACGTGCCATTGACCCGGTATCTCTCGTTTGCTGCGGCCCACGTCAAGTAGCGCTTTTGGAGGGGGAGAAAAATACAGTCGGACGTTGATGACAGACGGCGCCTGATGCAACGAGGTCCGACACCTTGGTATCGTCTGCCTCTGTTAGTGACATGATTTGCGCCTCGAATATCTGGAGCTTGGCACGCTGCTCTTCGTCGCGTACCAAAAGCTCTGCGATTTGCTGGGCATCTTCGTCTGCCTGACGTGCTGCCTCACGAGACAACTTGCCATACTCATCGACGAGACTATCAATTGTCGACGACTCCGTGAGCGCGAGACTAAGCTTCTCACTGGTCTCCTTACTTGTTGCCCGTTCCTCTTCCAACGAATGTTCCAGGGCCACGACCATACATCGCAGCTTGGCGACCTTCCCGCGCAACGACTCACAGCTCTCGTAAGACTCGAGTTTCACTTCTTCTTCTGAGATCGATACGGGACGCAGTGCCGTGCCCTCGACGGATTCGTCCGTGGATACCTCGTCGTTCAGCTGCTCATCAAGGCTGCTTAGGATTGCAGACCCGCGAGAGACTGCCTTACCGAGAACTGATCGAATCATTGTGTCGGCTCGAAGCCGAATCGTTAGTCAACTCAACAGTGAGTCGTGGTGTCCCAAAGCAGTGATTGTAGGTGGTGCTCATAAATATCAAGCTGCGTTTCAGTCCATAATAAATATGTTAGCTCTACATACAATAGTATCAATTACTATTGTAGGATAGGCGCTGGTTCGGCGATAATAGGGGGGGGTCACTGAGCCCGGGTGCTCTCCGGGCTCCGCTCCGCCTCCGCTGGCGCCTGGTTTTTTTTTTTTTTTTTTTTTTTTATAGGCGTCCCTGGAGCGACTTCCCGGGTTAGTGGGGACGCGGAAATTAGGGGAGCTGCGTGGGGCGTCGCCCCACGGAGAATGCGCCGGTTTAGAGCTCCCCACTAAATCGCCCCGGCTGGAATGGGTCACAGTGCCCTGCACTTGACGGACCAGGGAGAGCGTTTTGTGAGAGCTGGGCTGCCCGTGTCGCCGCCCGTCGGCCCGGCTGTGCGCCTGCGGGCGTTTGGATTCGATTCCCCGCGCCTTGCGCCAGCCCGAATGGCCGCAGCAACCGCAGCGTTCCTCGTTGGCGCCTAAAGCTCGCTCTGTAAGAGAGAGACTTTGCTGGGTCCTGATCCAAACGAGGTCACCAGCGTGCTGCTATTCGCCGCGTCGACGTCTCGACAGCTTCGCGCGGTCTCAGAAGGTCCACGGAGGAAGGGTAAGGGCGCCAGGGACTACTACAAGTGGCTCGAGGCGAAGTACTCCAAGGCCTTCTACGTCGGCGAGTCCCGCGCCTCCGGCGGGCGCCAGGACCTCGAGTTCGAGGCGTCGGTCGCCGTCTACGTGAACCGCCCCCACTACGCCAAGTTCCTGGATGTCATCCTCCCGGACCCGCAGCACAGGAACATCCTCGAAACGTCCGCGCGTCCCCGACGCGCGTTCCGCGGGAAAAAAACGACCTCTTCTAGTACCATAGCTTCGCTCAATCCGGACGGATCAGGACGAACCGAAAGTCGTTTTCGAGTTCCTACGCGGGCTCCTCGGGATAGGCGCAGTCTCGGAGCTCGGCTCGACGACGGCAAAATCCCGGGTTTTCAGTGTCGCCCCCTAGCGATAACCCAGGCAAGCATGGGCAATTATAATCACTACGGCGCATTTCCTCTTCCTATGAATGCTGCGGCGTGATAAGGATGCTGAAAATTCAGCGACGCCTCCCGGGACGGGTAAAATTCGACCCATACGAGCCTAGCCCCTGAGAACCGACCAGGTCCCCAACGACACTACGCTGACGCGCTTGGCCCGAGCGCCTGGGCCAGAGGCGGCACCCAAAGTAGACCGAGCGGGCACAGCAAATCCGGTCCTTTGAACATAGTAGATATGTACTGGCATGGTTGAAAGGATAATGCCAGGCTCCAATCGACTAAAGTTTTTTCCTGAACTTCTCGAGTTGTTCTTCGTCTCGTAAGATGCTGCTTTCCAGTGCAAACCTGAAGAAATCCGAGGCGAAAAATGCCGTGTAGAATTCGATGTCTACGCAATGCTGCTGAAGGAAGTTTCCGACATGGAATACCGCAAATTTGCGAGACGCCGTTCCATGAGAAAAAGCAAATAGTCGAAGTGGCACTAGAACAATTTCATTAATGAAGCTGCGCACTCCTTTCGCAAAAACTGTGTAAGCAGAGACCGGCACACCACTGCATTTGAAGCTATCACCGCAGGACTCTGAATCTGAAGACTCAGAGTCATCATTTTCAATCTGTAGGAACTTGCGCCACCTTGTCTTGCCATCAGCATCATCCCTGAGGGACACCGCAGCAGCTTGAGCTGCGGAGAGGCTCCTAGCTAGAGTCCTAGATGCTTTTAGGGGGGGTGGCGGTGGTGATTCGACAGCCAGCACACCGGTTGCTACCATGATTTGTGCTCTGTCAACTTCGATCACAATGTTCCATCTGGACAGCCCTTCTCTATACTTGTGGGAGTAGCCTCTGCTTAGAACCAGAGTAGTCGGGCCGTGACTAGTGTCGCGTGAGGGATGTATTTGGCATTTCTTGCAGTGCGGCAAAGCTGGTGAGCCACTGGCAACAGCATGCACAGCATCGCCTAGGGCGGCGATGCGTGTCGCAATCTCAAGAGCACGATGACCCCGAACTCCGACAGGATAATCCAATAGAATAGCGACAAATAACTTAGGCAGACCACAAACTTCAAGTGAGCCACAGTAAGCAAGGGCGCCATCTATATCGGGCTCTGTGTCGCCTTTGAGTGCGTGCCTGATTCCTCTCCCATCTTCAATAAGAATTATTGCTTCAGCTCGAGTCATTAAAGGATGAATTCCCAATGATTGAATGCCACGGCGAAGGGAACTGTCAAAGTCCCACAGGAGAAGCGTGCCGTTCTGCAGCATATTTTGAGAATTATTTGCCGCGTCATAGATCGCCTCTATTTTTTCCAAGTCATGGGTTTGCCAGTGTCCTGTTCTGATGTCGCAGTCGTGGGCTTCAGCAACAGCAAGTTCGCCGGCAATCTGTGACGAATGAAATGGCGTAAAGACATGGATATTGAGCCATGTTTCCAGCTGCGTGGCGCAGTCATTAAAAAGGGCGCCGTACATGGCAGCTGCAGTGCTGAACTTAAACGCAGAGCGCTCACGTCTAAGAAGCACTGAAATCTTCTCTAGAGTACAGTTGTCAATAATCGATTGCTGCTCGTGAGCCGGAGGGCGCACAAGCAGTCGATGTGCAGCACCCCGTAGCTCAGACCGTGCATGAATGAAGTAGCCCTCATCATCTTTGAATTTAAGACAATTCGGTTGCTGCATGTTGTGCCCTTTGAGAGACACAAGAAATGAAGATTTTTCAGTATTGATGCAGCTGCTACATAGAGTCTTAAGACGACCAGCAAGGCGTCTCCACCACCGAAACACGCGAAGTGCTAGAGTAGTTTGGCCCTTGACTTGGCGATTTAGATGACACAAATTCGTTAGGAATGTACGAAGCGTTGCTACAAAGCGTCGACATTCAGCATGCGTTCTAGGTGCATACTCTTCTTCAAGGGCATCAGCCCTACCTGGTGAGCACAAGACTGCGTCACGGGATTTGATTGCGTCTCGAAGAAGAGCCCGGTAAGCTTCTGAATTGCGAAAGCGTTCATCCCAGCGCCTTTTTAGCTCCCTGAGTGTGGCACTCCGAAGTTCTGATAGCGCGTTCAGCTCGGGTGTTGCGCCATTCGAATTGCGTGCTGCAAGCCGAGCAACCACTTGCCATGGCAAAGAGTTACATGCCTGTTTCGGTGCATCTTTCGCAACGTAGGTTGCAAACACAGAGCATTCATGTGCTCTAAGTGCATCTCTCACGGTGCTATTGCGACCCACGCGCGGCCTTCGGTGCTGCTCGCACGCAAAAATAAGAAGAAGTAGCCTGCATGATTGGCCGCCCTGCTGGTGCAAAAAGTCCAAGAGATATGGCATGCGCTGCCTGTTGCCAATAATTTCCTCCAGTGAGAGCACACTACTTTTCGGGAACAAATCACAACCTTCAGCCTCGCAGGATTCTTCGGACGAGGATCCCTCCAACTCGCTGCGCAGTCGCGCAAATGGAGACTCTGTATCGTGTTGCCCCTCGAGTAAGAAATGCGGGACTAGCATCTGAAAGCGTTGCCTTCCATCTACGGGTGAAATGACCATGCACGACCCACCACCGGGCAGCGATACTTCCAGACAATCACCAACCTGGCACCCTGCCGGTGTAAGTGTAGACACCAGAAGAGAACAAGCCCGCGTCTTCATCGGCAATGAAAACCTTTGGTCTAAAGGGGACAAAGTCGAGGAACTACAAAAGATACAGGATTCCGTCCACTTGGCCTTTCGTATCTCCCACTAGCCTGAGCTAAAGGTAGCAGAGTAAACTCCTCCCTCAAGGGGGGGTGGCAGAGGAGCCAGGATACGCCTAGGATACCCGTAACGCAGTCTCACTCTGATCTGGGCTATGTTCCCGCTTTCGCGCTGTGAGCCACCGCGCTACACCTGCTAGCTGTGCGCAGCTACACCGCTGCAGACCTGCGCGCAGAGCGCGCCGGCTGCAGAGGAGCCAGGATACGCCTAGGATACCCGTAGCGCAGTCTCACTCTGATCTGGGTGGCTGAGCTCAATTCAGTTAAGAGTGCCAGAATGAGCGCCAGCTGTTCTAATGAAGGCCGACGGACCGCGCTTGGATGGCGCAGCCACCTCAGCAGTGGCGCAGCCACCTCAGCAGGGACGGAGGAGGGTAGGGTAGGGCGGGTGCTTCATTGGAGCCGAAGGAGGGTGGTGGGCGGGCCAAAAAATAAGCCGCGCCACCCCGGACCCGGGCTGCGAGGGCCTCGCGCCAAGCCGACCGACGAGTCGCCCCACCGAGACAGACGTCTCACAGATTACCCCAAACATACACCTCCCATCACCTACCCCTGGCCACAGAAGGATATCCATTTGGGCCAAAGGGGTCAGAACTTGCTCAGACTCAAGTACCCTTCCAATCCCTGGCGAGAAGGATACGGACCCCACGATGGTCCGGATTTTGGATGAGCACGATGGACGCGATTTCGCTGACCACGGCCCCGTGAACTCCAGCGAAATCGCCCTCGGGAAAGATGCCGATCTCGAGGAGCGGCGGCAAGTCCAAGATCTAGGCTTGCCCCTCCATCATCACCTTCCCAGTCAAATCCTGCTCTATCCTCATCGTGGTCCCTAACGAGGACCACACAGTCCCCTGGCCCGTTCAACCGAACGTCCCGCCGCGCCATTCCGGCCCAGGGGCCTCGACGCCCATTCCGCTGACACCCCCACTCTAGCACGCGTTTAGGGGCGTCTTAGACCATTACAAAGCCACCCCGCAGCCTTCTCGAGCAACGTGCGCGCGTCCCGACGCAGACTGCGGACTTCTGTCTATTACAGTGCGCGAGAAGCTATAGCAGGGTTAGAAACTCTTAACTTGAAGTAAGGGGGGGGGATCCCAGGGCGGCTCAGTACCAGCGAGCCGCTAGGTAAATAGAAAATCTCTCTATAAGGCGCACTGCAACATCAAGAGCGCAATACCGCCGACTAGCATGGTGCTATAAGTTGAAGTCCACGTTCTAGATCTGAGCAAGATCATCTCGATAGGGCGACGTCGCGATGGTCCGTGGAAGGCAGGGTAGTATAAATATGGGGATGATGACAGGCGCACGGGGACATCTAAGACAGAAACACCGCAAACTCACAAAGGGAGTTGCACTTTCTCTTTCGCGATTTTCCTTGACCTGCGGTAATTTGCCACAAGGGGGTTGAAAATATGACCACAAGAACGGTCCACGTGGCTGCGGCTCATACGCCAGTAGAACGTCCGACGGCAGCGAGGAGTCCCTGGAGGGTCGCAGATATATCATCACGCTCATTGCTATCTTCTGAAGTTGCGAGCGCAATCTTGTACATATCTATGGCATCTTCTGTGGCGTCTTGAGCGGCGAGGACATCAGCAAGTCGTCTCCGTGTGTGTGCATTTGCTCCCTTTTTTGGTTCCGCAGCAACGGCACGTCGGAGCAGCGCTTCAGCAAGAGCATATCGCTCGAGCGCGAAGTACGCGTTTCCAAGTTCTCGCAGAAGAGAGGCATCATTGATCCCAAGCGTCATGGCAAGGTCGAGGACTTGTGATGCGTGCGTTTCAGCATCGCAGGGATCGGCCTCAGTTGCATGGAGAAGAGCAAGCCATGCGTGAGGTGGCGCGTTACGAGCAGAACGGACCGTCGCAAGTCTAAGAAAGTTGTCAGCTTCATTTATGCGTCCAAGGCGTAGACTGGCGGCCCCTGCCCCAAGCCAGAGGCTGGAAGTCTGCCATTCATTTGCGGCGACAATGAACGCATCGCGCGCGGCATCATACTGGCGTGTCTGAAGGAGACTTTTTGCGTGCTTAATCCGAAGTGCGAGGGGTACGATGTCAACCGGAGATCGTTGATGGCACAATCGAATTGCCTCCTTGTAGGGATCAATCGCCTCTTCAATCCGACCCTGGTTGAAATGTGCATCACCTAATGTTTCGTAAGCCTTTGCGCTTGGCGCAGTTGAGGTTGCGAGTGATGCAAGATCCACTGCCCGTGCTGGCTCGACAAACAGGACAGATTTAGCATCGAGGACACACCTCTGGGCAACAAGAATCGACGGCATCTGAATATGTCCCTTTGCACTCAAATGTGCTCTAGCGTTCGCAGCCAACAAGGCTCGACGAACAATTGCAAGTGCACGCGCGGATGTACTCACGAGAGACCAGCGCTGGAGATACTCAGCAGCGTCCTGAAAAGCAGCGACGGCCCTGTAGATCTTGGGAATATTGTCTGCCACCGCTGTTGCTGCTCTCACTGCAGCGTCGTGTGCCCCAATGCCGTCCTCCTGTACATCCAGAACAATACAAAGAAGCGCTGCATCCAACGCAACTGAGGGTGTTGCCCCCTTGGATGTGGATGGTGCTTTAAGAACTGCTTGGAGCGCGTTTCTGGCTTCGACCAATCGGCCTTGCTCGAGGAAGATACACCCCCGGAGACGTAAAGCACTGATATGGTTAATATCTGACAGTTGCAAAGCAAGACTCTCGTCAAGAGCATGTCTCGCTTCGTCAAGGCAGTCAGCACAGAAAGAAAGCCGCCCTTTTGCATCGCCGAGCGCCCGGAGCAAGAAGGTCGAGTACTCGAACCACGTCTCTGCCATGATGTTTTGGTCAGAAGCTGACAAGGTTGCGACAGACAGCATTGCTTTGTGTTCGTCCGCCGCAACACACCAGAGCTCATTTGCTTCGGCGTCTGCCTATTGGTGGAAGATACGACGTCACCATATATGATCAAACAAATTTCTCATCAAAAGTTTGCGTCTCGGACAACTCACCGCAAGCACGAGCCGCTGGCCGAGTACATCCTCAGCAGATGGCAGTCGCGGGTTCTTTGCTGCATCTTGATGCACGCCGTCACAGCCACGAACCGTGAGAAGAGTGTTTGTAACCTCCATCAGGTGAGTGTAAGCTTCGCCGATGAGCTCCTGCTCCCTGCTCTCATTTTCCGGCTGGACTGGATACCGCTTCCGAACGACACGCTGGATTCTAGGTGTGAGATTTAGACGAAAGCCATGTGAGGTTGAATCCTCATCGAGGAGCTTCTTCAACCGTCGTTGCCGCTGCTCACTGTCGCAGCCGATGAATTCTCTCTTTTTCTGAAGTACCTCGTATGTTTGCAAGATCTTGCTGAGTGTTGCGTCAATCTCCTGTTCCAGTTCGCCATCTACATTCCGGGGCGTCTTCTTCTTGAGACTCCGCTTTGGCGGCACACAGTCGAGCATACTCAGATGCTGATGAAGCTTTTCACTTGGCTTCATCCCGGACCAGGCGCCCATTGTATCATAGCTGCTTGGGAGACCTAGGACAAGCAGCCATAATTGAACCCCCCCGAGCACGGGCACGAGAAAGGACGTCGAATGCGCACCTTTGATACGCACGCAAATTATGGCAGTACATCCTTCAATAGCCACGGCCAAGGGGCGGGGTGAGGCACGTGGAACGGGCGCCTCCTCATCCTCGATTGGAGGTTGGTCAGTCCGCGGAGGTAATGGGGCCAGAGCGCTCTTGCCCACGCCAAAGGAGGTTAGCTTTAGAGCCGCCGACAGCCGCGAGTCGGGAACGTCGAGAAAAGATTCAACCGGGACCGTTGCTGCTAACATGGCAATATTATCTGCGTGCTTCAAGGTAAGAACAAGGACCCACTTTTCTTTAGTGCGACGCATATCGAGCCACGTTGGAAGGCTTAAAAAAATCGACGGGGGCACGGGTGAGTCCCTGGTCCAGCTTATGGTACACGTTTCGAGCTCAATCGCTATTTGTGCTTCACTGGTCTCGGTAGACTCATTGGCCTGTCGCTCAGCTCCTTCATTTTTGTCCACAATAGCAGACCAGAACCTATGAGGTCAAGCTGGAATTTTAAAGGTACACGCATTGAGTCTTCTGCGCGCCAGGATGGTGTTTGTGTTTTCTTCAAGACACTGAACTGGACGTCGTTCGAGGATTATCGGATGAAATTGTCCCCATGATCACGTCATTATCCATGACATCGCGCTCAAGCTGCAGACTTATTTCGAGGTCAAAGGTGGCAAGTTGGGCGGGTTCCTCAGCTTCAGCTTGGGATGAAAACCACTCTGACGGTGCTGCGTGGATGGCAGAATCTGAGAATTCTAGTATTGTGCCGCCAAGCATCGCATCAAATAGCGCATTTGTTGCAGAGAGACTCAGAGTAAGGTAAGAAGACGCGCCACGATCGATGAGCAGTGATGTCGATGGCTCGCTACCGTTATCTTCTTGCTTCTGTCCTAGTGGGAGTCTGGATTCCCATCGAAGGGTCGATGTCTCCGCGAGCGCGGTTCTGAGCGGCAGACGCAGAACTCCGAGGGAAGGGTCAGATTCAACGTCGAAGGCGGGGCCACGGACAAGACGCACCTCGACCACAGCTGCCTGATTCAATAATATGGATGCCAGTGCATCACTGGGCTGTTCTGATCCAGCTCCGAAGCTCGAAAAATCCATTGATTCGAATCTTGCGGTCAGATTGCCCGGGGTTTGTTCCGTCTCATCGCATTCTATCTTCGTTTCGAATAGCGCAGGACCTGTGCCGCCAGCGACAAACGGCGACGTCGATTGCCACGGTACACGACCATTATATCCAGCAGACTCGATGTAAGCAACGATACAGACCCTAATCAGTCCGCCCGGTACGAGCTCGGGTAATTCGGACTGATTCAGATGTAGTACAAGGCCAGACGCCTCTAACAGAACGGACATCGCAACAGCCCGATCGAAAGATATTATTAACCAGGATACACGGGCTGTAATTGGAAATCTTCGCGAAGTCGTGGGCGCTATGCTGCTTCGGCCTCCGCCGGCTGCACACACAGGCCTGCTACCGGGAACAGGAGCGGGCAGCCCACGGCTGCTTTCTCACGGCGGCGCGCCGCCGAGAAGCCTTCCTAAGCATGCTCTACTAGTAGCCCACCGTTTATCTGTCACACGCCAGATCCACCAACTTTGCCTTTCTCGTCCTCGAGGTGGAGCTCAAAGTCGCGCTCCGGTACTGGTAAGAGTGACCTTCCGGTTGCAGGGTCTTTTGAAAAGCCCCCGGTCTGGTTGCTGCTCGAGGCTAAGCGCCTCCGGACATCGAAAAAAATGGAATGGAACATCAGGGTCATTAGCTCTGCCGCAACGGGTGGTGCGCCGATATTACGTGATGTGCATGGCGTATCTACGGGCACCGATGATAGCTCCGAGTAGAGACGCAAAGCATTATCAGTGGCTTCATTTAATTCCCTGAGAGCGGCATCATACACCTCACGCGTTTGCAGCGTCTTTTGTTGGAGGACTGTAGCTTCCAGACAGACGCTCGCTGCATTTGTTTTCGATACCTCTGGCGGAGATGGGCCCACCCGAATATCCTCGACCTTGATAGAGCGTGGTGGATCCTGGACTAAGCCGACCTTGAGTATGCCCATAGCGGCAAGTCTTGCACGCATGTTTTCGACCTACAAAGACCAAGGTAAAAAGTGCCACGGGTATCATCCAGGCGGCCACGGTGTGCGCTGATTCTAACCGCGATCGTGGTTTCTTGGCGACGTTGGCGGCTTTTCAACACACTCCGCTCGTGGTGAAGAGTTGGGGATGAGCTACAGTGTTTTGAAGCTTGTTGCTGTAAAGGAGTTACTGAACGTAGGTCATCGGGGAAAGATACTGAGCTAGCTTCAGTCGCTCGAACAGTTTCGTCAATAGTTTCAAATTCAGTGTGATGCTTCAGTGTCACTAGTTCGGGGTTGAAATCTTGATTTGTCCCAGAACCCAAGAGGTACATAGCTCGACTTTTCAACATCTGAGGCACTCCCATTCGTGGGCACGTTCTCGCCCAGGCTGGTGCAGTAGCCACTGTGTCATCAATCGTGTGCCCTTGACCCCGCATTGCTGTGAGCTCAGTTTGACGCTCGGTTGCTACACGTACCAATTCTGGCACAAGCGCCCACACGTGCACACAGCCATCACTGCCGGCGGTGAGGATTTTTGTGCTATCCCTGGAAAAACTGATGCATGTTACGAGGTCACCATGGGCGTTGGTTGACGCAAGACGCGAGCCAGAGTAAAAGTCAAACAGCCGCACGGTACCATCAAAACAACAGCATGCTGCGTGAACACCAGCGTCATCAACACAAAGGCGATAGACATCAGAACAATGCAATTCTTGGTTTGCTAATTCGTAGCTGCGAACACGCTTTCCCGACATTAGGGAACGGACATCAAGGCGAGTACCTGCACCAGCACAGATTACGTATTTTGCGGTCGCATCGACTGCTATGTCATAGGCTGGAGACGGGGCTGGTCGCGTTCTGACGCGCCGGTATCTCTTGATGGGAAGGTCTCGTTCCCTGTCGATTGTACAGAAGGCCAGCGTTGCGTTCCCTCCAATGGTAACAAGCTTAGTTCCATCCACCCCAAATGCAAGTGCTGTAGTTGGTACGCCAGCCCCATGATTTTCGAGTGTTTGGAAGTAAGCGTACTCTTGTGTCACATCAAATATATGAACAAGACCATCTCTTCCCGCAGAAGCAAGTAACGCGGTATTTGAATATTTAACGCAAAGGACTTCGGCCCCGTGCGCCATGATGGTGTGTGTCGCGGAGAGGGACATTGCATTACAAATTACCTATAGATGTGTCTGGAACACGACATATCTGAGCTTTTGCATACACGGCCCTCCACTATTGTCCCTGAGCTGTCCCCAATTGCAACATGAAGTCCGCCAGATCTCCAGGCAAGCGTGCGTGGCACGCCAGTTGTTCGCTCATTACAGTTGACCTTATCTTCGGAGCTAAATCGCTGGAAAGTATCAGCCTCTTTCGTTTCCCCCATAATTAAGGATTGGAGAAGATCACGCGAGAAAACATTCCGACGAGTCCTATGTCGCAATTTTGCAAGGCCACATTTTGAAGCTACTCCCAAGTCCCAGAACCGCACAGTGCGATCAGCAGCGCAGCTTATAAATGTACCATTTGGGAATGACCTAAGCACCATCCGGCTTGATGGGGACTTATCACGGACACAGGGCAAGAGACAGAGCTATTTTATCTGCGCTCGGGCTTTCAAGGCATTGGAGGTCCCAGATGGATCCAATGTGGTGAAGAAAGGAACGATGCTTCACTACAGCGCAAGGGTCGTCAATGTCCCAGATTAAAAACGAACGATCGGCATAAATAGCAAACACCCTGGTGGATGATCCATCGTGCACTATCCTTATGCATTGCGTTGCGGGATAGGCAGGCAAATCTCCTCGCGACGTAGCAGAGAACAACCCCAAGGGAGGTGGACGCGGGAGTGTGTCTACATATACAAGGTCAGTAGCACGGAAGAGCCGTGCTAAGCCATCAACACACCCTGTTATGACAAAGTCACTGGTAGATGAAATCGCGAGTGCTTGTCCACCAAGCGGCATAACACGACTTGCAACAGGGCACTCGGGATCAAACAACAAGAAATTTCCTGTTGCGGAGACACCAAGAACACATCTATCGAGGGGTGCGGCATCACACAGAGGGCTTATCACCTCACAATACTTCCGCGCGTCCAGAGAAATTGGATCCCAAAAGACCAATCCTTCATCTCCGCAGGAGATAAAATATTTCTCTGTCCACGCCACACACCTCAGCTGTCCCAAACACCGGGAAGCTAAGCGAAGCACCTAAAAAGTATAGCCTGAGAGAATCATTTGGACTGGAAAATATTTACTCGAAGTGGACGCGAGGAATCTTTCCACGTAACGACAAGCGGTCGTTTGTCGCCGACGAAGCCAGCCGAAGCTATTCTATCCCCTGCCGGGCTGAATGCAATCGCACTGACACCAATCCCGTGCGTGCTATCAAAGCATCTTATGCTAGCACAAGTCGAGACATCAAACACAACAAGAGTTCCTGCTCTTTTTTTCAAGCCCACGCAGATAAATTTCCCATCATTACTGACTGCTATCGCCGACACAGGCGCATTCGCAAAACAAAATTTGGTTTGACGGTCGCGTCTCGCTGAATAAAAAGCTACCACCCCTCCAGCTGCAAAGCAGATTTCGCCGCACTTCCCACCAGCTGCGGCGAAAGCAGCATTCGTGCAAGATGTCACGCCGAGGCAGCGAATCAATTTAACTTTTTCCATGGTGTTTCTTCAGTGCCCTATATCCCTGACGAGGTTCGTCAAAGTTAAAGCGACGGAATCGATTCCGCCTGAGTTAAGTTGCTGCTCCGTGACCGATCGGTCACGGTGCGACGAAATCTAAAATGAAGTCGTCTAGTTGCCGGAAGCTGCCGCTGTAGCAGCTTGAGGGCATAAGTTTCTTTTTATTTAAAGTAGCTTTCTAGTCTAGCAAGATAATTACATTTGCGGCAGTACAATATGTTTCCGGTGACGAGTTAGTGAGTTTAGCCTATCATCATCCAGTCAAATAAAACTGCTGGTTGTGGTGGTCCTCTTCCAGCTCGTCGCTTCCCCGGGGCCCGGGTTGGCGCGGTTTATTTTTTGAGCATATGGCCTTCAATGACAAGCAATGAGTGAATATTGATGCAGCAACTTCAGGAGGACTCGATAAGGCCACAGCAGATCGTATGGACGTGGTTATGGGTATGCCACCGGGGGACGGCACTGCGCCGCATGCGCCGATTGTTTGTGGCATACTCTTGAACTTATAGAGAGTAATACCCGAAACTAGGGTGCGCTTATCACGCTTCCCCTTTTTTCTTATCTCACATCTAGCGAAGGCTGCCCTGGTGTTATCTCATGAGGTTATCCAGGCTGAGAGCCCGCGCTAGTGTCCCTAGGCTACTAGGGGAGATCGGGCAGTAATATCTACTTAGTATTTAGTTGAAGGGCCTTACAATCCTTTGACATGACAATGCCAGCTTCGTAATCAAGCACGACAACAAGGGCACCAATGGAAAGCACGGCAGATTTGCGATGGTGAGTGCACTTGCGCGCCATGCTGCGCGTAGATGCCTGTACATCTCGGGTATCGCCGGCGAGCTGATCGAGGAGCACATCGCCAATGCCGAGCTCCGAAAGAAACCGTTACGGAGCCATCTTTTGGAGCTCAACAAGCACCAACCGCGGCGGAACTACCGGCCTCTCCAGAGACCCACGCGCGAAGAATAAAAGCGGCGGCTGGTACGAGCGCCATGCTTTGCCTGGTGGTGCCTCCGAGTCGGGCTACTACATTCGCGCGCGCGGTCGATTTTTTGTTTGTCTGGGAGATCATATGGTACATTCCTTCTTACGTCCCCGGAGGGCTTTCACAGCGAGCCCTCAAAGACGGCCATCCCACCGCAGCGCGCCGCCAGAACGCTGCAATGTCGATTATGAAGTGCCGGCTACATTCGAACGCCTTTTACCTCGGCGGGGCAGATTTACTGCTTTCTAGCCACGGGGTTGATTGACTCCACTTCGCTGATGCGGGGCGCTCCTGCTCGGTGTTCCTCGGGACCTGGTCTAGGTAAGCGCAATTGGCGGCAGTTGGCTCGAATTTCCTGCACGCTGTCGGGGTCGAATGAAGTGCAGGCTTGGTTTGGCACTGAGAGGAATTGATAAGGACAATGGGTCTCAGTGAGTCAAAGGCAATTGAGAGGTCCACTGTAAGCTCGTCGTTTTTGTCGAGGGAGTGGGTTGAAAACCTTGTCATCACGCCTTCACAAACAACGGATGTCATCATGCCACAATATGGCTCAGTACGCGTCCTTGGAAGTACTATATGTGACATTGAACGATTTTTTAATAATGTTGCTGGGGGCAAGATAAGTGCCCGGGCCCACATCTACCGACGTTCCTCCATTGTAGGAACGGAAGCGATGCTCTTTGGTCTGTTTGACACTTAACCGCCTCCCTTTCCAAAGGACTCGTTTTGGCTCATACGTACCTAGAGGTGCCAGCCTTGTCTCCAAGCGCTATGAGTATTGTCTCACCAGGGCCCGGAGTCTCGGCAATAAGGTCGCCGTTGAAAAGTCGACCTTCATCGAACCTCCGGGTCTTCGAGGTCAGCGAGGAAAACGGATAGGACCGCGCGGCCTTGTGGTTCTGGTCAAATACTGATGGTAGCACGTATTCTCCTATGCCAGATTGCGAGTTGCTATAGGCCAATTAGAGCGAGAAATTCGCACCAACACTTGGGTTTTGATGTGACCCAACCTGAAGAATATCAGGCGCACGAGCATCGTATTTTTGTGTATCAAGACGTTCGACACTCGATCGAAATGAGTACACAGGCTGTGCTTTCAGCTTGGGCCTGCCCTGGGATGATGCGTCATCACGCAGGACCGTGGGGTCCATTTCGTAGGCACCTGGTCCGGGTGTATCCAGAGCTATTTGTTCTTCGCTTTGATACTGCTGAAGCCTTGCAATGTCCGGGGGCAAACAATGAGGGTTGAAGCGCATAGTGCAGGTGCCAAAAATCCCATGGCGCCCAAAAGTTTTTTTCCTTATTACTTGCACTATAGACTGCTTTTCCAGGTCGTAGTCACCAGGGCCAGGATCACACCCTGCCCGCTGTGCAGTGTTCGAACCACGCATCCGGGACAAGGCCACCGTGTCGCTCCCCAATTTTAGACAGGGTCGCATATCGGTAGAGCTAAATGCAATTGGGTCATCTGTTAGTCTCTTCTGCAGCTGCGTCCGAAAAGAAGACTTTGTACCCCCATACGAGCCGGGGCCAGGTACGTGAGATGACGAAGGCTCCACGAATGGAAGATCCTTCGGTCGATTCCAACCCCGCCTCTCGGTGGTTGCTCCAAAACATTGCAACACTGAAGGCCAATCGCAGCGATGAGAGGTGGGACCCAGGAACCTACAACAATGCCAAGCGTCCTTTTTAGCTAGCTAGCTTCGACTCCATCTCGCACGCCCCAGGACCAATGTCATTTGTTTGTCGTGATGCGGCGGACATCTCAAATGCCATTGGAATCTTGGATTTGAAACTCGAGAGACCTTCCGAGGTCCTACTTTGACGAGCAAACTTCGATGTGGGTGGGACTAATGGGTTGTATTCACCCGGCCCCGGGGTTTTGGCACTTGAAAATACCTGAAAAAAGGCGATATGCGAGAGACGAATGGTGCGCAGGCAAACCTGACGTTGGGTATTCGATTTGCCGAATGTGGTACCGTCTGATCGCAAGGTCTTGGGCAGGTTGTAGAAAGCCGGACCAACTGTATCTGGTCCAAGTCCAGTGAAAACCTGCGCCGCCTGGCATGATGAATACAGAATATTTACGCATGACTCTCTGGTATTGACATCGCCGGGCATGGGAAGAGGCATTGGGCCGCGATCACTCGTGTCGTAGCCGTTTGATTGCTCCTTGCGCGGAATGGTTGGCGGATTGAAACGCAGGGCGGCAGACTCAGAGCCTGTCGCTTTGACGACACGCGATGCTGCGGACGCACCTTTAGAATTGGGGAGCAGCCTCGGCCCCGATGCTGGCTCTTTGAAGGGATCCCGATACTGGCCGGGGCCTGGGTTGTCCGCGATCGTGGATGACCGGAACATTGTCGATCCAGGTGCAGATGGAGCCAATCGGGCGATGGCTGTTTTGAACACATTGCTTGATACCATCCGACGCCTGACCCGTGGAGCCGTGAGGTAGGATCCAGGACCGGGTGTATGTGCTGAAGTTAGAGTATTTTGATTCAAGTTTCGTGCATTTGAGGACGCAAATGCCGCAAAATTGGGCTGTTTGCCCGTGCTCAGTTTCAACCCGCCGTACGTCCCTGGACCGACGCTTCCGGGTGTAGAATGTTCAACCATGATTGCGGCCGTCGTATTACGCGTGGACCTCGACGACATCGCCATGGTAACGAGCACCCGGTGATATATATCCAATTTTCGTTCACTTGGCTTTCGTATCTCCCGCTAGCCTGAGCTAAAGGAAGCAAGGTAAACTCCTCCCTCGGGGAGGGAGTGCAGTCTGTCTAGGATGGGGCTGTTTGTAAGAGAAGAGTTGCTCAAGGTGCCAGCTCGTTGCTTTGAGTTGGTGTTCTTGAGACCAAATATGGTCATGACTTTCTCCACTTTGTCAATGGACATTCCGGTAAGATCTAGGGTGTCTTTGGCGTAGCAGATGTCTCTTGCTGCAGAGTAAACCATAGTGGTGAGACCTGTTGCACAGAAATTGTGACTCCACTGTCCAAGAGCTCCAGTCTTGGCTGCAGCTCATCGTCAGTGAGCTGCCTTGAACTGAGTAGTCGATCAGTCAGGGTGGCAGTAGGCTCAGTAGGCTGAGCCTATGGTCCTATAAAGGGGAAAGTAGACCTTGAGGGTAAGTTGAGGTGGAACTTGAGGGTGAGTTGAGGAAGAGTCAGGAAATAAACCTTGAGAAGTTGAGGAAGAGTCAGGAAATAAACCTTGAGGACGTTCAACACTGACTATATATTTCAAGGAATCACGGTGACGGTATTATTGTGTTAATGAGTGTTAATGACGGTTCTTGTCACTCCGAGACAGAAACCAGCTACCGAAACCTGGCCCGTCGACGGCGCCGTGCGGCGCCATAGAGGCACTGCCGTGGTCCGCAGGCTTTCCGTCAGTCCTCTTTGCCCCACGGGGCTGCCATCCGCTGTCTCGCCCGCTGCGGCTCGGTTGCAACGGTCGCCGCGGGCTGCTCTCGCCCGCGGCGGCATCCATGCCGCCGCCGCTGCCTTGACAGCGACGTCGTGCGCCTATTGATGCCGCCGCCGCGGTCCGCGGGCGCACCCGAGGCGCCATGCGAGCCCTCGAGCTCCAGCCCTGCTGAGATTTTCGACCGCGCGCGCGCGCGGTCCGTCGCCGTCGCGGCCGCCGCGGGCAGCCCCGCGGGCACGAGCGACGGGTAAATCGATTGCACGTCACCGATCCGGGACGAACGCGAACCTGGTGCTGTGGTGCTGAGGTCGGGCGACTCGGTTGGCGCCGCGCACCATACCACCGCCCCGGTGGCAGTAAGAGCAGCGGTCCCGAGGTCGCGCCGACCGCGCAGGTGTACTTAAGTGGGGCCTACGTCCTATAGATCTAGTATCGTCGTGGGTGTTTAGAGAACCCAGGCGATGGCAATGGCTCGCCGGGCGAGCCTTCCCGCGGCAGGGCGCGACCG